ACCTCTTTAACATCATTTCACTATCTTCACAACTCCTGCTCAAGATTGCCGCGGGGAGGTTTTTGATTGGGGAGGCGGTGGTGTGCCGGTACTGATACCGCAAAATGATGAACCCCCAAAACGATGGTTTCATATCAATGGGGGTGGTGCGAGTCGCCAAATGCTTCAAACCGCCCAAACCAAACCCAATCTTACCCCAATACTTGCTGGTCGATATTTTGATCCAATGGCAGACTGAGCATGCAAATCTTGCGATGTCCAGGCCTGTCCATGCGTTAAGTATTGTTATGTGGCATTCCTTGCTTCTCATGTTAGTTTCTACAGGCAGCAAAGCCTACCAAAATCTACAGGTGGTTGTTTCCGATCTCGCATGTTTGATGATCATGATCCACGATAAAACCCATCAATCATGATCATGTTGATACGAAAACAAATTTTGGGACACCACAATTGTAAAACAAACCCACCCATGCTGATCACTGTACAAATATTGATGGTAGCAAGAATATGGCCACAATTCCAAACTTTTGATTCCAAAACGTAATGTGTTGTTCTATTCAATATGACCTATTTTGTTGGTCACTTGGTACGCGGTTCTTGGGCCATCACCAATTTTAACAAAAATGCAAATTTGGCGAAAACATGCGAGTCATCCAATGATTGAAAATGTTTTGCAACTGCAATCGGACTTTATTTTCAACCATGATGTAACCAATGGGGTATCACGACCAGTTATCATGATATGAACATCGCAAATGGCTTTGGTCAACATTCTTTGGCCACAAATGACCGTTGAAAATCATGAGCCAAGTATTGGTATTGTTGATAGGACAAATTGCTGAATTATTTTTTTGCATGGTTCACCGCCTGTGGTAAGACTCGTGGGGTTTGTTGTCAGCATAGCCAAACTACTACATAGGGTACCTTCGCGCTTGAAATGTGATGACTCATCAACCGTACCAGGTTTTTCGGGGATAGGTGTCATCCACAAAGCAATGGCTCTTGTTGACCTCTACGAATCTATCTACATGTCTATTTGTCTCTTTATTTATCTATCTACCAATGGACTTGAAATTGATCAGTCTTTCCAAAACAACAACTAACTCCTTTGTAAATGGGCGCAATACCTCCAACTTCCTTGATTCCTGTGGAGGTTTCCATCCCAAAAACGGAGTTCGGGGAAAAGGATTTTCTTGTTTGATTTCCCAAATAGATACAAGGACACCGTGCCAAGGCGACGCCTCAGTATAGTGGCCAGATCCTTCATGATCGTTCTGGGTTTCTCGGGCAAATCAAGCCTCCACCCCCATTCCACGATTTGATTTGTGTTAAAGTGCCTGGTTTCACCGACGAGAGCAAACAATCAAATCTCTCGCTCAACTGTGGCACCTTTTGCTTCGTAAAGAGAAATGAAAGCACGAATTGTCACTTTACGTTTCATTTTCACTGCTGTCCCGACAGGTCAGCAGTACTGAAGGCGCAGGGCAATCCGCCCGGCAGCACACAACGCCGAGAGCGCTGTCAGTGAAGTGGTACGGGCCTTGCCCTTGCTGCCCAATCCACAGTGCGGTGAGTGTAGGCGGGGCCCGACCGCGCCCGACCGTTTTCGACGCCCAGAAAATTTCTAGTTGAGCGTCAAGGTGTTCATTCCAGGGCCCTTCAGAAGTACATGTTGTGAGATGGTCAGATCTCAGTGACGCTGTGTACCATTTACGCAATGATTCAGGCCAACCCTGAAATTTCGGGTCAGCGCCCTTCATCGTCAGGCTCGCACACGGGCCACTTTGGCGAAGCAGGGTGGACTACACGTCGCTCTACCGAACCACACAAGGCGGGTGGCGGAGTATTGGAGCGCCGCAGTGTTGCGCCGTCATTGCCATATCATTGAGGCGTTCCACTACATCTACACGCGCGACACGGATGTAGAAAGCACAGCAGCTGAGCTCCAAGAGTACTTGGCCGCTTGGATTGGCGAAATCATCGGGTTTCCACTGCTATTCAATAGTAGCAGGGGGTGACAATCGATTGATCAATCTTGACTTGCTTGAAAAACCAAACCCTATACCGAATTGTTTTTTTTGATTTGGTCCACCGTTTACGCGCGGCCTTCTTATGGACATCCATTCCCAAACACCAGTGGTTGCTGCCTGGTCTCCTGCATGGGTGTGTCAAAATTGGGCCCCGAAAATTGAAAAATCCAAATCTGTGTGGCCATGGGCCGGCTCAATTTTGCCATGTGGGTACGTGTCAAATGCATTGCAATTCAGGGTACTGCGTAAACTCCAGATCAATGTTGACCCCTTGGTTAGGTTTAAGGTGGGTGTTCCCCCTGAAATGTATTCCTCACCATACACTTCAAAGTGGGGCTCACCAACTACCACCAGTTGGATTGATGGTTTCGCTTATTTTGTCAATTTTCCACCCCCCGAATACCGTAGATCCAAATGGGGGACGCTAGACAATTCACCAGCATCTAAAGCGGCCCTTGGTTCGCAACCATCCTAGTCATTCCTGGCTTGGCGCCCCATTGGCTGGCTGGAGCGTGGCCGAGGACAATGCCCACCACGAGGCATACAGCTGCTGCAGCAATAACTGCAACCGCAATGCTGAGACAGCTTTGCAGTCGATTCTTGGCTGCAAAACAAAATACTTCACGTTTTGCCCCGAGAGGCTCACATCATCTTATTATTATTCTTCTAGCTAGTTCTCATTATCATTCTGATCAGCCGACACTGAGGAAAGACTTTTAGCAGGAAAATTGTTGCATTGTATAAAGTGCATCAAATGGTGTTAGAGATATTTGTGTGCTGCGTGGTTCCCAGCACAAGTTGATTTTTTTGAATTATTTGGCACTTAAGATTCGAATCGAAGGTTCTGATATTCGCTGGAAATGTTTGTCCAGTCAAACCTTGAGGTTTGGTGTGCAGCCAGGAATCCAGCAAAGAGCTTTGGCGAGGCGGGCCCAATTGATCCGTGAACAGGTGCCGTGTAGCAAAGTCATTCCAGGGTTGACGCTTGAATGCATTTTGCGCTAGCAGCAAATAGTAGTATCAATGCCCAAGAAGAAAAACGCTTTGAAATGCTTCGCGTGCAGGCCCTGGCTGCTCTTACTGGTGATGGCGCTGGCGCTTGTGGCAGTGGCAGTTAAGGCTGGGCGCTGTGTTCGGCGGGGCCAAGTTTACGCATTTCATCGACGGCCCAAAGCTAGATAGTTTCACATCACACCTTTATGCGCTTGCGCGTAAATAGTTCAAGGATCCCCGCGCGCTCTACCTGAAGATGACTAAGGCATAAGGGATTTATTTTCATGAGTCTTTTCATGTGTGCAACCAACTTTTCGACGCCCCAAAATCGGATGGCTAAGTTGTGGAAAACTTGGGCCCAAAAACATGTGACTTACACGCAAGTTTTTGAATGGCGCTGGTTCCTACAGTTCGGTCAAACCAAAAAATTGTTGGGTCCTTTGCCCAGCCGGCTCAGGAAGCGATGTTTTTCAAGCTGCAGGTATCGTGGGTGGGAGGGCTTCAATGGATTCTCCAATGGGGTAGGGCCAGGAAGCCGGTTCCTTTTTGTGTTTTCCAACATTGAAAATGTTACCACCGTTGGGGTATGGCCCCCAAATTGATTGAACAAACTAAGCTGGTCATGGCTGGTCAAAGAAGCCGACTTGTCACTTGTGGGTCCCCCGCTATGCTGTCCATGTTTTGGCCGCATCCCAATGACTTGGCCAAGGAGGCTGAAGATGTGGTTCGAGGACCAATCTCTGACATGTGTTTTCTCCACGGTGGGACGGTGGGTTTGGGGGGCCCAGTGGCTGTTGGGAGGTTGCTGAATGAAGAAAATTGTTGAAGTTGGCTTGATTCGAACCACGATGTAAGGCTACAGGTCAAGCTGTTAAACACCACTGAGTGGCATAAGTTACCATTCCATGCCTGTTTTGTTCATTTCCACGGATGGGTACCAGGCCGAAAAGGCCCATTCCCATATGGTTCATAAAGTGCTATTCAACGCGAAAGCCACAACAGGCAACATTCATTATCAATTTACACAGGGTCGCGTCAAGTTTTGATACTGTCCAGCCAGCGATCGGTTGCTTGAGAATAATCTGACCTGTTCCCTGGTGATGGGCAGCCCATTGCACGACGGGACGCCAGATTAACAGCCATAACAGGCGCAAGCACCATCTCCTGTGGCAGCGACAGGTCAGGGACACTTTACTTGGGTTGATGGCCGATCCTACGAGGGCTCCTACAACAATGACCAGAAGGACGGATTCGGAACGTCCGGCGCCCCAACCCAGCGGCTGAACTCCCAGCGGCCGAAGTGGACCTGCTTGATCCGTTGGGCTGGGGCCTCTGGAGGATCATCCCACGGATGGTAATTGATTATATTAACCATGGTTAGTAAGTCTACTATATATGAGTTTGAATGGTTTTGAACAGCAATCGCTGGCCATGTTCAGAATCACTGAGGGCGCTAGATGAAAGTCCTTCAAGTGTCAGTGATTTCCCCATTCAAAGTTTTCAAGCAGATCTTCACCGGAGAACAACATCCTGGATGATCTCCACCATTTTTCTCCAATTTTTTCACCTTCCAAACTAACATGAACCCATTCTTCGATCCACCATGCCCCCCCTACTCGGAAGGTCTGGAAGTGGAAAAAACCCAACGTCCAGAGGAAAACCATGCAATGTGTACCCAACGATCAATCATCCCCAAACTTATCAGCCAAATGGGCGCTATGAAGCATTCCCAAATGGATAGTTATTGGGTTTATCACATGTGAGCATGACAAACATGACCATGTAACTGCAAGGGGGGATCGAGCCAAAACAGTTTCGTGGGCTGCCTGCAGCTTGGGCCATAGGTGGTCCTAAACCCCCAATTCCCTGTAGGTAGGGACGTTCTGACCTGCTGCGTGTGATCCGTTGCATGGTAGCGGAGCCCCTGGTGGGGCAGACGCTGACTTCATCCCGAACTTCGCCACCGCTCCTGCCGAGCCCTACGGTGTCGCGCGGTGCGGTGGCTGCTGACATCTCTTTCTGCACCTCGAGCTCTACGCGCGGGTGGTGGCTGCTGCGCTTCCTCTATACAAGCCCTACGTGCGGCTGCTGGTGGTGACGCTTTGGCTGCTCCTCGAGCCCTACATCCTGCTGCCGACCTACGTCGAGCTCTACACGGCCACTTCGACCTGGACGAGCCTGAGCCCTTCAGGCTATACTCGGTGGACTTCATGAAGGACGACACTGGTGGTGTGCCGGCCTGGAACGGCGACCCAGCTTCATTCGAAGCATTCGCAACAGCGTGCAAATGGTACACGCTCAGTCTCAAAGAGAGCGAACGGAGACAGGCGGCATCCAGAGTTTGGCAACGCCTTCAAGGAGCCGCCAAATCAGTGGTGCGGCATCTTGACCCTTCGGAGTACGATGCCACCAATGGATTGGACAAACTCCTGGAGGCTTTGAGATCTTCGCCACTTCAACGTCTACCTGTTTCAGACAGCCTGGAGAGAACATCCCGCAGTTGCTCGTGCGAGAAGAGGAACTTTTCACAGAGCTTCAACAGCCTCTCCAACGAGCCAGGTCTGAGCGAATCCGCTCATCAGCTGTGGGAGTTGGGACAGCTGCCAGGGAACATGAACCACCAACATCCCCATCGAGGTCACCTACTGGACCCATTGGGACGCTTGAGGAGGACGAGACAGCTTCCGAACATCGAAGATCCCTGGAGGTTGATTTCTTTGGTGATGATCTTCGAGGGTACCGCTTGTTGAAGGCGGCCAAGCTGATGACTTCCGAGAGGCAGCACATCTTGACCCTCACGACGAACTCAACGAGGTTCATAGAGGTGAGAAGAGCTTTGAGGACGCTCTTTGCAGAAGAGAATGTGGAGGACGGGATGAACCAGCGACCAAGGAGGGCAGTGTGGTTCCAAGACTCTGAGACTTGGGGCGAGATGCACTATGAGGAGGAAGACCAAGAATGGTCAGAAGACTGGTGGAGCGCTGAAGAGGACGCCTATTAGTCCATTATATATATATATATATATATTGGGAAGAATAACCCCAACTGACGAAAACCATCATTTTTCAGAGGGGTAGGTTGAAACCACCAACCAGATATTGAAGGGTTATAAGTTATATATGTATTCACCATCCCATAGGGATAACGAAATTGCTGCCAGGTGGCTAGGTGAAGTCGAAACTCTCTGGCTGCCTTCAAAGCTGACGGACTGGGAAGGGATGAGTTAAAACTGACGGGATTGATCCATTGAGTTGGGTACCCTCCTTTTCTTGACCAAAAAGATGTTGGAAACGCCAGCAAAAATGTAGGGCAACAAGTCGGGAAAACATTGCTTTTCCACATTTGTTAGTCTAAGTCTAGGGTTACCTGCGAAAGTTTTTTGAGACTGCAACATGTCGAATGTTGCAACTTGGTATAACTAAGCCAAGGCTGGGCCAATGGCCACCTCGGTCAGCGGTTGATGTGACATCCCAGTAAAATCGTTTTCCTTTGTGGTAGAACAGTGGCATTATAGTGGCATATGGCAAAAACTCCGGTCATCAGACATGGCAATGCAAAAAGAAAACAATAGATGGATTTCAGAGCTCAGAAAACCTCCATTTAGGATGGGGATTTCCCAGCCATGTTTGATGAAACCGGAGGGTACTTAAGGTATCCCCTCTCAGGGCAAAGAAACCTGGCTACAGCCTTGTATCTCTATGGTTTGTTTCATCGCTGGCGTTTTAGCACAATGATTAATGATTTTCCATGGATTTTCCCATGAAACATTTCAGCCTATTGTGGGTCAAACAATGTCATAAAGTACCCATTCGGGAGTGAATGAATTCCCCATACTACCTATGAAAATGGTGATGACTGGGGGATAGTCTATAGGTGGTATGTTTATTATCCCCAATAAACATTACTGGTTGGTGGTTTCAAACATTTTTTATTTTCCATCATCTATGGGATGTCATCCTTCCCATTGACTTTCATATTTTTTAGGATGATTAATGCACAACCAACCAGATTAGTTCAACCAGAAATTCTGATAGTTGAAATTATAAGTGGTATGTTTATTACCCCCAACAAACTTCTATATTAGCTCAACCAGAAGTTCTGATAGTTGAAATCACCTATTTCTACCGGAAAAAAAAACCGCTGGTCCAGCGGTTTTATCTCCCGGTGAACGTCCAGGACATCGTGGTGCGCTCCCTGGTGTCCTCGCTGGTGACGCGCAAAAACCACGACGGCCCGGCCAGCCCGGCCAGCCCGGTGGGCTCTGAGGTCACGGACCGGAGACGCTGGGCAGATCTCGCCGGTTTGGCGGTTTAAAGGCTGCAATGTGAGGCCCCCGTTGGATAGCGTTCAGTTGGTTTACAACTCCAATAACTATGGTTTATGGTACTTAAAACTATAGTTACTGGGGCGAATCTAAACCAACAAACATAACTGGGGGGCCTCACATTGTGGAAAATGTTCGAAACCAACCTGGCGAAAACTGCCAAAACCATGTTTTAAATGTTGAAAACCCCTGTTTTGCTAGAACATGTTAGAAACTTGAGATGAAAAACGATGTTTTTTTCTGGCAAAAAGGAATCTCACCTGCCGAAGCATGTGGGTTTGACACAGGACCCCGCAAAAACTCAAGCCCATACATGGCTTTAACCAGAAAACAAATGAATCATTGCAGCATAAATGCAGTTTGTCAATGGTAAGAACCATCCTGGACCTTCCAAAGGACAGACAATTCTGTATGATTGGGATTTCTGCACTTTGGGCCGATTGAAACGTTTAATCTTAGATGTAAACGGTCTCAACAAAAAATGAACTCTTTACAGCAGTTCTAACTGCCACCTTAGATGTGGCACGGGTGGTTAAAATATCTTGCCGCAATGGGTCCCTCACAGTTCAGCCATTGGAATTGCTGGTGATAATGCCCAGTTTGTGTTGGTGATTGGAGCCCCCTATATTTGAAAATCGTTAGTTTGAAGCATGCATAGTTTGCAGAAATAACGGTTTTCATTCCAACAAGCTGCGATTTGATGCGATTTGTCACATGCATGAACCGCAGCAGTTAAGAAATCCCGATTTGCGTACTTTTGCGGATATTTGCGTAGTTTTGCGTGACATTTGCGCACTTTTTGCGGGAAAACTGTCGACATGTTTGTTGAATTCAGAGCAGTTTTGGAATTTCCTGGGGACAGTTCTTGCAAAAAAAAAGGCCTTCTGATTTTTTTTGAAAATTCAGAAAAATCCAGTTTGTTTCAACGTCTATAGGAGTCTCGTCTATCCCATCCAGCAAAGCTTGCTTTTAGCGTGGCACCAAAGCCTTCTTTGAGCGCCTTAGTTGTTTTGTCATATTCTTCAATGTTCACCAACCAGTAGATTGCTCTTTCTTACCTTTTGTTGAGCAGGTCCACTTTGTTTGTCAACATGCAGAAACTCCCATCTAGCATGTCAAGATACGTCAAGTCAGCTTCATTCTTGCAATTTCATCTTGTTCAAGTGCGTTTCTGAACGATTGGTCCAATTTGAACTATTTGCGGCAGTTGCGGTCTGTTGCGGTCATTTGCGGCCAAACGCCCAAGAGTACAGAAATTGTTGAGCTTTGGAAGGTCTAGGATGGTTTCCTGTATATCATTGTTTCCTTTAACCCACCCATTGCTGGATCCCATGTTTGACACGCCAAGGAAGCAAGTGCAACGACTCTTCGTCGATGTTGCTAGGTCCAGGAGTCCTGACAGGATTTGTCAGGTCACAGCTGGTTTCATGGAAGATGAAAGTATCCTACGATGGTTCTGATCAGAAGTCAATAGTTAGTCTGGTTGGTGGTTTCAAAGATTTTTATTTTCCATAATGTATGGGATGTCATCCTTCCCATTGACTTTCATATTTTTCAAGATGGTTAAAACCACCAGCCAGTAGTTGTATTTGTCAGAAAAGAGGTAGCATCAAATGAATCCAAATGTGATGGTGAATTCCATGTATTTCCCATTTGAAATGGTCATTTGATGGAAGTGCACCATTTTCAGACAAGCCCAAGTCAGCATTTGATGCATGTTCGATTTGTGATTGCAAATCTGACTATTTTGGTCCTGTGACATGAGCCATCCCGACTGACTCCAGCAGGGGTGTTCAACAGTGGACCAGATAGATGCTACATTGTTAATTAATATTGTTACATCCCAGCAGAAATTCCAAAGTTCCCAAGACCTACAAAGTTTCCACCAGTGCACGTGTATAAGATCACCCCTTAAAATAGAAACATGTAATTATATATATATAGTATATATATATTTATATTATATAATATATATACCATAAGCTTCAAAAAGACAAAGCAACTCCCACTTGGCAAAAACGGCAGAATAAGACGGCTGGTTTATCACAAGCTTCCCATCTCTTCCCTATGTCTACCTTATTTTGGAGACACACCCGCATGCCGTCCCAGTTACTAGCTGGCTGGCACTCAGACATACCATTACTAGCAATACTAAGGATAATTCAGATTCAAATCTGTCAATATCCGTACTATCCCGGAATTGGATTTATAGGGAACATCTGCAGGCTAGCCCTTGTTTTAGGAGCAAAAACTGTGGTTCCAACCATAAATGTTCCCCCAATTCAATTCATAATATCCGTGAATTTTGGTCTATCATGAAATTTTTTATGATCAGAAATATTTGAAATATTATGAAATATTTTTTGAAATATCATGAAATATCCCAATCAGAAATAATCCCATTTGATGATTCCCAGTTGATCGAAACCTCAGCTTGGTTTCCCCATGTTTCCCCGTGAAGTCATCATGAAACATGCGTAGTATCTCCAATATATTCCTATTCCTACATGGTGGCGGGTTTCACTGGTTTGACTGGTTAGCTCATGGGTGAACAATTCCCAATGTATAAAGGATAGAGATTAATACTCCCAGAACTAGTCATCAAGCAACCATCATTTATCAATCATAGCTCTATTTTATCATCAACCAACTGGGGTTACCACCATACAGCAGCCACTGGCTCAAATACTTTACGGTATATGCAAATAGCAGATGGAGTTGGGTAAATAAATAGTCCACTAATGTCCACTAATTCCCAAATTCCCGTTCACCCGACGAATGGTTCGATCCTGAAAAAAGTCTTTTTTGGAAACTCATCCCCCCCGAGTCCAGCGTCAAGCTCTATGTCACTATGTTAATCTACTGGAGGGTATACCCCACATGAAATCCCATAAATCACAATAGAAATATATCGAAATTCATATTTCTCAACACCCTGAGACCATGATTTTTACCTGAAACCATATATGAAATCCCGATTTTTCATGATTTTTCAATATTTCTCAACCCTGAAATCATATATGAGATCCCTATTTTTGATTTCATCCTATTTTTCAACTTTCCCACTTTTTTCCATGGGAGACTCCCCGTTGAGAAAGCACCTCAGGTTGTGCCCGATCTTGGTGGATCCCAAAAACATCGAGGCCGTAGCCGCAGCCTTCATCCTCCAAGCCCTGCTGAGGCGGGATGGGTTTTTCACAGAACCCAACTCCCAGAGAAATGGACAATTTTTCAATAGGAAAACACATTTTTTTGAAAAAAATATGGGTTAAAAAAAAAACGACCTCACTGCGACCGAAGCCTGGAATCATGGTTAGGATTCGGGCAATTATCCCAACATGGTCTTATTTCAGGTTAGTGAATCATCATAATTTGCCCGGATAAATGGATATAGCTGGAGGATATTGATTGAAAAACCATGGAAAATAGATCTATAAATGGATATTGATTGATATTTGGGTCTTCTCTTTGGTTTTGCTTCAGAGTTTGCAAACTGGAAACCATGGCCCATGGCCAGTTCGATGATTTAGCTATGAAACATGGTGATTTTCCATAGCAACCTGTTACACATTACCAGAATTCTTAAGTAATTTCTTGCGTTGATAATAACATCCCTATGGTGGAATGCTGATGATGGTAGTAATAATGAAACTAACACACAAAATGATAATACTAATCATCATCATCATCATCATCATCATCATCATCATCATCATCATCCATCAACAACAGAGCAACATCAACGCCCGCATCGACTTCATTACTGTACATTTTGGGTGGATTGTAGCAATAAACTGCGTAAAGGGATCAACAAACTTCCAAATTCACAAGATCATAGACCTCCCCAAAGCTGTCATACCCATAATTAAAACATATTAAAACACTCAACATCAGTTGTTGAGCCTTATCAAGATTTAGTAAGACTTACTCATCAGACACCATCTAAAATCATCTAAACACTCGGTCCGTTGAATATATATTTGGAAGACAACTTGGTCTTCCAAATTGTGCTTCACATGATGTTGGAACATCCGGATCCGACTGAAATGAGGATCCATGTTGCGCAACTAAACAGACAGGTCAAGAAGCTCAAGCACCGAGAGATCCGCTGGCAAAACCCTATTCCAATGGTTAACAACTTCATTTTCCCCTTATTTGCTGGCTAGTTGGAACTTAAGCACACATCAAGAAGTTCATGTGCCATTCCTTTTTTGGGGTTGCTCATCGCATCCCCTGTTCATCTTTGGTCTAGCAGGGGATGAAATCAGAGATTGGGACCGAGGCCACTACTTCTGAACCGCTTGATGCTTGCAGATGTCCTCAAAGAGGTCGGGGGCGGATTGTGAACCATGGAAAAATCATTTCTTAAGGTAAACATCAATAGTCACTGAGTCACTGATTGTCGGAATTCGGGATAGCAAACTTAGCCAACCATGGTGATTGTAAGTTTGGGATTCCTGCATTTGTCCCATTTAGATAGTTCCGGACCGCTTTTGAATTGAACATTGATGAGCATTGAATGAAAGTGTTGTTCAAAACCGACCAAAGATGCTAAGAATTCACGATGCAAGAGAAAATGGCGAACATGACCGAAATTTTTGAGTTTGACAACGCATGTTTTCCCTAGCAAAATCGAATGCGATCGGCGCGTTTTCGCTTTCCACGAAAGAGTTCACCCGGCGAAGGTGTGGCGCCACCAAATTACACGTGCGATAAGTCTCCAGGTAGACACACATACAGCGTCACATATATAATATATAAATATATGTATGTCTATGTATAGTATATCATGATACATACGCAATATGGTTGAAGTAGACATTGACATTAAACTGCCACTACTGTACTACGGTGGGATCAACAGTATTACGGTTATCGCTAGAATTATCTTCTCTATTATTGTTCTTATTTTGACTATGATCATCACTATGTTCACTATGCTTGCTACGGTGTTGTTTTTTTTTTTAAATAGGTATTCGCAAGAAGATGGAACAGTCAGTTCCTATCTTCAAAATAGTGAGAAATTCACTTTCCATATTTGAGGGTTACCCGTAATGTGGAATATTTACCCAAAAATGATCCCGGTGTTGGAAAAGAATGTCACACATTGGGCGCTTCTGGGATATGATATGCATTGATCCTGCTATATTTTTACAAAATGACAAATGACATTTCTACATTTGTTTCTATCATTAAAGGATTACTATATCTATTCACCAACAGGAAAAACCCACCTCACAAAGTCTGCCCCAAACATCGGCAGGACATGGAAGTTCCGCAGGACACACGAGCAGACACTCGGTCGAATGGAGCCCCCCAAAATAAGTTTAACAGGGAAAAATGATGATAAACCATGATAAATCATGATTTTTTACTCAGGCAACACTGGGTGTACATATGTGGAGTTGGTTTTAGCAGATGTTTCTTGGGCACATCAAATGTGTAAAAGTTGAAAGATATGCTTGTATATATATATATATATATGTACACATATCAGTGGGTCAAAACGTAGGGCTGTAGGGACCTAACTGATCAAAATGACGACTTCGCCTACCAACAATTGGGACATTCACCTCTCAAATCTGAAATCGAGCAACTTCACTGGCGGACCTTACCATAAACGTGCTGGTTCGGCGTGGAGGGAATCATCCCCCAAAAAATATCCTATATATCCTTCATAACTTAAATCTGTTTCAGGATTTACTTTCAATTATCCATATTATATATGTATATATGATACGAGTTATCCCACTTGTCATTTGGGTCCATCCTATTTGTAAATGGTTTCTAGATGTTTTAGGATGTTCTTTTGGTACCAAATGTTACACGAGCCACATACTATTTGGATCCACATCCAAGCACCAGTCAACTATTGAGAGGTGCTGAAAGGATGGAAAAGGGATGGAAAGGATGGATATTGTATATATATATATATATCCATAATATCTGATTAATCTAATATTTTCGGTGACTTAAGCACCATCAATCCAAGAGTTTTTCGTGGTTTATCCCAGCAATTTCAAGATTTTTGGGCAATTTAGGCATTCAAAATGGTGCTTCAATGGGATACTTATGGAGATATCATTGGATACCAACTCTAATCTCGGTGAGTAGCCTAATCAATCAGGACACCCTCCGGTAATCAAATGTGGCTGGGAAATCCCCGAACTGAATGGAGATTTAAAGCTGGGAAAATAATCAAAATCATTGGGTGATGTTCAATATTTTTTTGAACGTGATATGCTGTTGGATAGCCAAGACAAGTCAATCTCTGTGGCATTATACTATTATACATGTATATATATAATATGTATATAAATAGGTATAATTATGTAGAAATTATATATATATACATACATATTGTTTTGGTTTTGGCCTTGGGCATGATCATGGCTCCATAGTGGGAACCAATGGTCTTTTAAAATTACTTAGCCAGTCATATCGAAGCATACGTACGACGATCTGAGAAGCCTTGTGATTGAACCAGTGGAGGGGAGATGATTCCGAGCATGCCATGAGAAATTGACATTCTGTGTGTAAAGCAATGCCATAAATCAATGGCCATTTCAGGAACCTAAATTGGAGGTACCTACCATATATAAGGTTTATATAAGGCCTATGTAAGGGAATATCCCCACAAAAAATGGCCTTGTATGGTACAGTACCTCCATTTTAGGATCCTGAAATTCCCATTGAATAAACGACAATGTTTTTTTGGTGGTTTATACCACCTATAAAAATGGTGATGACTGGGGGATGGTTTATGAAATTGTTTTAGCCACATTATGGTTGATGGTGTTCGGACTAGGGTTGCAGGGTTGCACACGATTGCGCTCCTAAGCCAACAAACTCTGCTGAATCTCTCAATGGTTCTTCTTGGTTTGGACGCATGATGCTGATTGGTTTGGACCAGACATCCCAAGCTTCATCTGAAAGTATGACATCGGAAGATACATATTTTTCCTGTTCTGTGGGCATTGATAGATGATTCCCACCGATAATTATTTTTGACTTTGCATTTCCAACTATTTCCAACTTCCCCTTTTAGGCAGTCAACTCTATGTAGATAGAAGCACATCTTACTGTCTCCGTTTCGAACGTTTGGAGACACGGCCTGAAGATTTTCTCCTGTTTCTCAAGGCCTTGATGGTGTGCAGCGACTTGTGCTTCCTCTCTGGCCAGGCGGCTTGTGAAATCTTCGACTCAGCTGGTTTTAAGAGCTGAAAACGACACAGAAAAGTGGAGGTTTCTGAAAGCATGGAACATATGGAACCTCAAAATAGATGTCGTCATATGTTGTCACTAATTCTGTACTGTAAATGGATTGCTGCAATGGTTGATAGCCAAATGGTTGGTTCTAAGAAAGTGTGTTCATTGCACACATTCATTTTCTATAAACAGTTGTCTTACTAAAAGAACATCTATAAATGTAGGTTTCTAGGTGGGAACATCATAAATCAAGAAATTTCCAGCACCAAAAAAGACTACCGGAGGGTGGGGATGAGTACCACTTGGACGAGGACGATTCACCAAGTTATGGACGTTTGGTGCCAGGGTACGTTTTGCAGAAGTGGATGTATCACCATAGTTATAGGGGTCATTAATCACATATATATATATACATATGATACATACACGCAACGCCTTGGCTCTCCCCAGGTGTTGCAAAGTGGTTGGTTCCCATTCCCATTTAACTTTTAGTTCAGCTTACATTCGATTCAATGGGGAAGATGAAGAACATTCAGTTGGGAAGATACCCACCCGCGGTAAACTTTACATTCAATTGCCGCGTTGGGCAAAGCCCAGGCATTTGCCGTATATCATAACTGATGGGGGTTAAAATACCACGGTTACAGCCATTAGTTTCACGTTAACTGCACACCCAAGAAGGACAAAGAGTCTCTTCTGTTCTGAAGAGATTTCGCACAAAGGCTATGGGTCCAAGCTGAGGATTGGTAACCTCTGCCTGGGGATTAGTATTTTTCCCCACCTGCCAGGTGAGGGTCTCTAGATTTTATCAGAGTTGTGTCCTTCCTCGTTCCTTCCTCCTTCCTCAACTACGAGCTCCAGATCTCAGTGGGCACTGCCGGACCTCAGCCGGAAAGCCAGAATGAACGCCAAATAGAATGTCAGAATAGAATGTCAGAATAGACGCCAAATAGAATGCCAGAAAAGGTGCCAGAATGCTAGACAGAATGCCAGGATAGAGCCCGATAGAATATCAGAAAGAATGCCCGAAGCAAATGCCAGAGAAATTCAGAATAAATGCCAGCAAGGATGCCAGATAGAATGTCAGAATAGATGCCAGATAGATCCAGATAGAATTCTAGAATAGAATGTCAGAATAGAATGTCAGATAAAATGCGAGAATATGCCAGAATAGAATGTCAGAAAATATATGCCATATTTACTTCCAGGTGAGGCAAAACTTTGCCACGGTGGGGATCACTCGAAGTAAAGGAATTCTTTTTGGCTTTGGGAAGTGGATCAGTGGAAGCGTAGTGAGATGGTAAACAATGTGGCCATGAATAAACATCATCCCAAAATGGATGCTTCAATCAATCAGTCTAATCCTGGCCAGTCTATGCCAGTCTATTGTGGGTTCAAGATACCCTCAAGTACGAGGTGTCTAGGATGGGTACCCCCCTGGGGGTAAATTCTGGGGTTCTAACATGGGTTGCCGATATGATTGTAGAACCCTGACCTCCCCCCATTGTAGAACCCTGGAGGTTTTGGTTCCTAGAGTTGTTTTTTTTGATATTGTAATTTGCTGTTTCCGACCACTTTAGATTTCTATGGATCATGTGGAAGTAGTTACCTGGAAAGCCCGGTGCCCATCGTTTTGGGCACTGTCCAAGGTGCCCGGAACTCTTGTCATTGGAAAATGTGCCATTTTGGGAGTAGGATTTCTACGTGTGCTTATAGCACTCTACGGGTATTTGTGGCACTTTTTTTTTCCGAACATGGTTCGCCAAAAGATAAAGTGTCGTTTTATGCGTAAGAAGGTTTATGTTCACATGGGCCATGGACTCTGGATATGAAATTATCGCTTTCTGCGCAACCTCCTGAACCAAAACATGCAAAGTGCATAAACGCAGATCAAAAAGAACAGGATGCCAGGTACCAATCACCAATGCAACAAGAGGTCCTGAAATGATATCTCCCAACTCATTCTGTGGATTTATCTTCACTAGGGCCTGTATATGAACTTAGACCCACCATTCCTATACAACCTTCTGAACAAAAATGAAGAAACCAATTTGATTTATTATTCCGAAACGGTTGAATTTTGCATAAGGTTCTGAAATCATATCCCCCAGCTCATTCCGTGGATTTGTCTTCACAAAGGCCAATAGATATGATTTTAGACCCCCCAATCCTGCAAAATCCTCTGAACCAAAATGAAGAACCCAATTTGATTTAACTAAAATTTAATTACTACTCGGAAACGGTTGAGTTTTACACAAGGCTCTGAAATGATATCTCCCAACTCATTCTGTGGATTTATCTTCACTAGGGCCTGTATATGAACTTAGACCCACCATTCCTATACAACTTTCTGAACAAAAATGAAGAAACCAATTTGATTTACTACTCCGAAACGGTTGAATTTTGCATAAGGTTCTGAAATCATATCCCCAAGCTCATTCCGTGGATTTGTCTTCACAAAGGCCAATAGATATGATTTTAGACCCCCCAATCCTGCAAAATCCTCTGAACCAAAATGAAGAACCCAATTTGATTTAACTAAAATTAATTACTACTCGGAAACGGTTGAGATTTACACACGGTTCTGAAATGTTATCTCTCAACTCATTCTGTGGATTTGTCTTCACTAGGCCAATAGATATGAACTTAGACCCACCATTCCTATACAACCTTCTGAACAAAAATGAAGAAACCAATTTGATTTATTACTCCGAAACGGTTGAATTTTGCATAAGGTTCTGAAATCATATCCCCCAACTCATTCTGTGGATTTGTCTTCACAAAGGCCAATAGATATGATTTTAGACCCCCCAATCCTGCAAAATCCTCTGAACCAAAATGAAGAACCCAATTTGATTTAACTAAAGTTAATTACTACTCGGAAACGGTTGAGATTTACACACGGTTCTGAAATGTTATCTCTCAACTCATTCTTTGGATTTATCTTCACTAGGGCCTTGGATATGAACTTAGACCCACCATTCCTATACAACCTTCTGATCAAAAATGAAGAAACCAATTTGATTTACTACTCCGAAACGGTTGAATTTTGCATAAGGTTCTGAAATCATATCCCCCAACTCATTCTGTGGATTTGTCTTCCCAAAGGCCCATGGATATGATTTTAGACCTCCCAATCCTGCAAAATCCTTGAACAAGAATTGGAAAAAAATGATTCATCAACCGAAAGGTGTTGGGTGCCAGAAAGTTCTTTTTAAAACAGATTAAGACATATTTTTAAACTACTATATGTCATTTTTGACATATTGCCAAAAATTGTCTGACGACGCTTTCCCCTGATAACTACATCGAAACCTTACGTACTAATCAAAAAATGAAATGATGTCATGGACGCGAACAATAACCAGTCCCAGCCAATCAGTTTTTAGTATTAAGATGAACCCTCATATGGCATTTTGACCCCAGAAACTGTTTTCTAAATGCGATTAATTAAAGATCAAATTGACCAACCTGAAATTTCCCGGAAATGACAACCGGGATCTATTTTTATTCATTAGGGGGGTTAGAAATAGGAAAAGGGGATGAGCATGGGAGCAGAGGAAACAGGCGGATAATTGAGCTTGTGAGATTGCGGGTTTTGCTTAGGCGCAATTGTTGACTCCGTTTTGTGACAACAGAAAGGCTCCAAAATGAAGGGGTTCTAGGATCATTTTCCTGATTCCCCATGATATGATTCCAGAACCCCCTCAAAACAAACTTCCAAAGTTCTAACATCATCAAGTTGATCCCCAGGGCCCCCCCCTGGGAAAAAGATTGTAGAACCCCTGGGGGGGTTCTATAGTCCCCCCCAAGGGTCCCTGCTCGTAGTTGAGAGTATGGTTCAAGCAGGTATCCGAATGACCAGAGCCATACACTTTTGATTGCCCTCATGGGTTGCGGTTGACCAGACTTTGTGGGTTCCTGGATCTTCACTTTGGACACTAAGCCTGCCGTTTGTTGAATGGCTTCACCGCCTGCCAGCGAAACCATTCCTAAGACACCTGACGGTCACACGTCTTCACGACCGTTTTTTTTTTTGGAGACATTAAAAAACCACTATCCCATCCAATCATATTGGTTGGGTGATAGGGATTCGCATCATGGATTTTGAACAATCCCCAGCAAACCAGGTACTTGTAGTACAATCCCCTTTATCAACCAATCAACAATGGTGTTTTTGATGGTTTATTTGTGGGCCATTTTTCGACCCGGCCGTCGTTCTGCAGGTTCAATCATGGTTGCTACAAGCTTCACGTATTCCTACGTACCTTGACTGATGAACTACAGATCTGGCACTTGGGGGTGCAGTTGGGAGTACGAAGGGGTATACCCATGGATACCCCTGGTTAGAACCCCCAAAGGTATCAAGTTGGGATGTAATCATGATGATAACCCGTATTTTTTTTGCGGCCTGAACCCTGAAGTTTGATCAAAATGCGGCCGGTAACGGGGTTTCTAACACCCCTACAATTGACATGTGAAATGTACGAAATGATCTTGAAAATTGGCAACTGGATTTAAATGCTTAGCAACCATAGATGAAGAGCTGACTTAAATACAATCCACTTCCTAACCATCCTGATTCATTATCGTTCATTGATCATCCCAGGTTTTTTGACCATGTGGCCACGTGCCGCTCATATTCCAAGTCGGTGCGTCAGACGCTGCTCCATTCATGGAATATTTCCAACATCGGGGCCATGCTTTGGATGTTTGAACATATTCCATACATGGAACATATGTGGGATAGTACACACTTTTACAGCGACACGGTATGTTTTGATTGCCTCTTTGAATCAGACATGTTGGATGCCTGTGCCAGCTGTGTGAACGGTGTCATTACGGCTTACCCTCTGGTAATTTAACGTAGCTATTGAAAATGGCCATTTACAGTTGATTTTCCCATAAAAGATGGTGATTTTCCATAGCTATGTTAGTTTACCAGAGGGTAAGCTGATTTCATGGCTAATCTGTGGATCCATGGAAATGTCATTTGTCATATCAAAGGGCCCCATTTCCAGCCACGGTCCTGACGGTCCTCAGTTGCTACATGATTCCGATCATTGCGGACGACAACTTTTTGGTGCGACCGGGCATGGGCGACCCGAAACGGACCAGGGAAATACAAATTTGGAAATTGATGTTCACATGTTCGACGTGAAATATCAATCACAAAGCACACATGTTTATACATTTTCTAAATTTTGTTAGCAAAAATGATCCTGTCCTGTTTTTCATCATGGCAAAATATGTTCGAAACTTGGGTTTTCTTATAGCCGTTGCGTGCTTGCGACCTCCGTTCTACTCCATTGTGACGGCCAAGAGAAATCTTGCAAAGTTTGAACTTCTATCTCAGATAATTTTGGTAGATTCTTTGAACACGCATCATTGTCACTAAAGACCCACGTCTTGTTGTTAAAACTCTTCATATCGCCATTTGAGTGGCTTAAGCTCCCCACACTTCAATTGTTCATTCATCATGAGTGTTGGTTAAAATCATCATGATGTTTTTTTGTTTGTTGAACCCCCATCTCTTTTGGCAGAATCAACGTTGTTTGGCTTGTAAATCAAATTTGTGTTGCTTCAATTCACTATGTTTGTTGCTCAACATCCCAGAACTTGCATATTTTGTTCCACTTTCTTTGGCAAAATATTTGCATTCCTTTCAGGGTTCCGAAAGCCCTGAGCCGCAGTGAATTACCCTCCGGATATGAAAATTCATTATATCAACATGATGAATTGACCAACTGAAAAAATGGTCATTGTACAGTTCGCAAAGTGTAGTTCAGTCATTCCCTTATCGGACAAATCCGTTTTTATATCCCCTATGTGGTAGTTGTTGGTTAATCCCATTCAAAATCCCATCCCATGGGACCATCCCATGATATTCTGGTTGGTGGTTTGGAACATGGCTGAAATATTTTCCCCAACCAGATTGGGGATGATGATCCAATCTGACGAAGTCCATCATTTTTCAGAGGGGTTGAAATAACATAAATAAACCACCAAGCAGAAATTGTTGGTTTTCGGGGTCTATGTTAATTTACCAGAGAGTAACTGAAATTGACTAAGCATCTTCATCATGGAAATTGTTATGCCCTTTGGTAATCAAATGTGGCTGGGTGGGGAAAAAAAAGTTGCTTTGTCATCTCAAATCGGAGTTGTTGGTTTGTTTAAAGACATCCACAGCATTCCAGGTCCCATCACCCTCCTTCTTTACTGAGCTCGTGGCCACATCCTCCACAAGCTCCTGGTCTTGGAGGATTGTTTCTTTTAAAAGTCGAAACTTGTAGTTGATACCCTCTGGTCAATTAACAGTTTGACCCTGAAAACATCCAATTTTTAATGGTTTCACTAGTCTTTCAACCCCTGTCTGCCAGGGTCTATGTTAGTTTACTGGAGGGTAAATATGGGGCTTTCCCTAAATCAAGTACCCTCAAGTGGATTGATTATAATGTTTAAATACAATTAAAATGGATGATGACTGGGGGTACCCCTATTTCAGGAAACCTCCATATGTTTATTTATTTTTGTATAGATATGTCACTGTATACCATGATATGTTGTAGTTGGTATATTTTCTAAGTTAATACGATATAACATCATAATAAGATATGTGGTAAAAACAAATATGATATTGTTGAGTACAATTGCTACAATACTAACGAATTATATTAATCATTGCCAATGTTATAGGTTTATATGTATACATAATGTTGTAAGGTTCCCAATTCTTCCTATACCATTGGAATTGGGATGCAATGGTTATGTATGTATGTATGTATGTATGTATGTATGTATGTATGTATGTATGTATGTATGTATGTATGTATGTATGTAATGTATGTATGTAATGTATGTATGTATGTATGTATGTATGTATGTAGTGTACTGTACTGTACTGTAATGTAATGTAATGTAATGTAATGCAAAGTCATGTCATGTCATGTCATGTCATGTCATGTCATGTCATGTCATGTCATGTCATGTATGCATGTACGTATGTAGGTAGGTATGTATGTATGTATGCATGCATGTATGTAAGATATGTAATGTATGTATGTATGTAATGTAATGTAATGTAATGTAATGTAATGTATGTAATGTATGTGTGTATGTATGTATGTATGTAAGTAAGTAAGTAAGTATGTAATGTATGTATGTAATGTAATGTAATGTAATGTAATGCAATGTAATGTAATGTAATGCAATGCAATGCAATGTAATGTATGTATGTATGAAATCTATGTATGTAATGTATGTATGTATTGTAATGTATGTATTGTAATGTATGTATTGTACTGTTATGTATTGTAATGTATGTATTGTAATGTATGTATTGTAATGTATGTAATGTAATGTAATGTAATGTATGTATGTATGTATGTAATGTATGTAATGTATGTAATGTATGTAATGTATGTAATGTATGTAATGTATGCATGAATGTATGTAATATATGTAATGTATGTAATGTATGTATGTATGTATTTTAATGTAATGTAATGTAATGTAATATAATGTAATGTAATGTAATGTATGTATGTATGTAATGTATGTATGTATGGTATGGTATGGTATGGTATGGTATGGTATGGTATGGTATGGTATGGATGCATGTGTGTATGTATGAACATAATGTAATGTAATGTAATGTAATGTAAGTATGTATGTATGTATGTATGTAATGTAATGTAATGTAATGTAATGTAATGTAATGTAATGTAATGTAAGTATGTATGTATGTATGTATGTAATGTATGTATGTATGTTTGTATGTATGTATGTATGTATGTATGTAATGTATGTGTGTATGTATGTATGTAAGTAAGTAAGTAAGTAAGTATGTAATGTATGTATGTAATGTAATGTAATGTAATGCAATGTAATGTAATGTAATGCAATGCAATGTATGTATGTATGAAATCTATGTATGTAATGTATGTATGTAATATATATATGTATGTAATGTATGTATGTAATATATGTATGTATGTAATGTATGTATGTATGGATGGATGGATGGATGGATGGATGTAATGTAATGTAATGTAATGTAATGTAATGTAATGTAATGTAATGTAATGTAATGTAATGTAATGTAATGTAATGTATGTAATGTAATGTAATGTAATGTAATGTAATGTAATGTTATGTATGTATGTATGTATGTGATAGAATGGAAACTATATAAATATGTAACCTGTTTTATGTGTAATTATAAGTTGTATGCATATGATTGCATGTATATATATATATATACTACAATTGCAATATGGGATATGATTGCGCATGTCATTATTGTACAATATTATGTATATCACACATAAATATATATATATACATATACGGCAAATGCCTGGGCTTTGCCCCGAACCACAACCACGACAGGCAACCCATCATAATCATCATCATCATCATCCTCATCATCATCATCATCATCAAACCCTTTTTGAAGATCTTCAATGAATGTAGAAGTTTAACGGGGGTGGAAGAATTAAACCTTTATTGAAGATCTTCAATGAATGTAGAAGTTTAACGGGGGTGGAAGAATTAAACCTTTATTGAAGATCTTCAATAAATGTAGAAGTTTAACGGGGGTGGGAGAATTGAACCTTTTTTGAACATATTCAATGAATGTAAAGTTTAACGGTGGGACTCTAATATTCCCTAATACCTTTGTTGATCTTCCCAATTGAATGAAAGTTTAACGGGAAGGGCTTTTAATATTCCCTAATACCTTTGTTGATCAAACCCAATCCCTAATACCTTTGCTGATCTTCCCAATGGAATGCAGAGTTGCAACAACATTTGATTGGGAATGGGGACCCTCTACGCTGCAATGGCTTTGCCCAGGCATTGCGTATTTGTTTATTTATATATATATACATGTACAATACTTTTGGTACACTTGTACAATTGAATGCCATTTTCATAGCTCATACTTATACAATAATACAAATGAAAAACATATTGTGATTGGACTATTGTAGTCGCTTCACTAAAACGATATGTTTGGGGATAATACATGATAATGCCAGGGAATTAAACTATGGCAAATGGCATATGGCATGATATGCCAACAGCTCCAGTTCGACCCCGAGAACCAGTGGAGATGGATGGACGTGATGGATGTTCTAAGATGTTCAAACTGCATCCCTTGTATATTTGATATATGATATATGTATGATTCGTATTATATATGTTTAATATTATGTTTATTATTATTTTCATGATTATTATTACCATTATTAATATTTTATATATAAATATATATCATATATTAATTAAATTCTGGATTCTGATAATATTTGATCTTGGACTTATATTTGCAAACAACGAAAACAGTTCTGATTTCCGAAAAATGTTGATCCGCTGGGCCGACCAGTTTAGGGACACACCAAAATGGTACCATTTTAGGGTCTCCTGCCGCATCTTTCAAGGTTCTTTGAATCAGGCCGATCTCTTCGCTTATATGCAGGTAGTTGCTTGGTGTCTTATCCCGCCTGTCATGACGCACGAACTTGGCGATACCACGGGTTTTTGTATCGGTGTGCACGATGCGTCGCGCACTTGGATCGGGGTGTCTTTTGTTACAAGAAACAATACAGCAGTGAATTTTGCCAGAAAAACATCCGATATACTGTACTATCATGTCCTATCCAATATACCTTATGAAGCCACTGCAAAGTACGGGTAATGAATGGTATGACCAACAAAGTGCTGTGTGAGACTCGGTCATAGATTTATCTTTATCCCATCGGTCCCATCCCAAATGGAATGATCCCTTGAAAGCTTTTTTTTTCAGGCAGCAACGAGTTTTCAGAATCAAAACTAGCCAGATTGTTTGGGAAGTTACTGTAATTAACTGAGAGTTTATTGTAAACTGCCCCCCAACATGGGGCCCCAAGTCACAGACCAAATACGAAACGTTTGGGTTTCGTAGTCAGCTTCGTTTTTTTTCCCACTCCATTGGGGGAAATGTTCCAGTTCAAGTCAAGGGAGGTGCCACTATGATTGTTAGTGTTACTATCCACGATTATAATCGAATCATAGTCTATTACAATCTATTGTATATTACAATCATTATTGATGAGGAGGATAACGGTGATGGTGATGGTGATAATCATAATTTTTGAATCTATTGCAAGGGCCACAGGATTTCATGGAAATTTCGCATCGTCAGTCGACTCATATCTACCACCGATTCGTTGGACCATGTTCACTGGAAAGCCGCCAACAAAAATCACTTCAAAATGGGTACGCTAAGTCTAATTCACTTCAAAATGTGGGGTAAATCTGCAGATTTTCCCTTGAAATTCTGGGAGTTTTTCGATGCTCACAATGGGGCCGAGTCCTTCTGTGAGGTGAAAGCACTTTTTCAAGAGATTGCAATCATTTTTGTGCCGCAGAACAGCGCCTCGGCTGTTTTGTTGTCGGCCGTTTTGGCATCAAACCTGGGGATTTCAGCATCAAGAATGGTGGGGCCCAACGAATGGGGCCCATAATTCGGGTTAATGGGGATACCCTCTGGTAATTTAACATAGCTATTGAAAATGGCCATTTATAGTGTTAAATTACCAGAGGGTATATATTGATGGATCTGGATGTATCTGGATAAATTATGCAGACCTCACTGGGACCTCAGACATGATATGGTTCGTATAAGATGTAATGGGAATCATACGAAAATGACCAAGGACTTCAGTTGGGCTAACTACCATATACAGCTTGGCTGCATATATATCCATGGTGAAAGCCAATAGCCCAGTGATACACGGGATAGCCTCAAGAATTCTGGGGGTCACCAGAGTGATGGACCGAGGACGGGATTTCTCCCAGGGCTGTTATCCCATACATACGTGGCTTGTAGCCTCTGATCATTGAAGAGTTTGCCACGGAAAATCACCAAATTTGATAGGTTCAAGATGTTAAATCATCCACACATCATCCATATATGGGCCATCACCGTAGCAAACTCTTAGCAAACTGTTTAATTACCAGAGGTTTTGGCCACACATTGGCCACTTCCTGACTCAGACATCCCAGTATTGGATGGAGGTGAAATTCTTAAGCGCAAGGTAAATCGCTTCACCATCATGATTTACAAAGATCTTCCACTTAGTAAGTGGTGAAAATAGCCCCGGTTCATGAGTTCTATGTAAGTGGGTTAGTTATCCCATTTACAACATTCTACAACTGGGTTCTAACATGTTCTTACCCCAGGTACTAACCACTGCTTGGGCAATACTTGGGTGGTCCAGGATGGGTGCAGATCCAGTTACTGAATTTGCGTGGCCAGCCATAACTAAAGCGGTTATACAATTATAAACTCTTGATACCCATATGCTCCATGTATAGAAAATGTACCAACATCAATCCAAAAAATGACCCCAATGTTCAATGTTGGTAAATATTCCGTTCATGGAGCATATGGGATACTTATGGATACTTCTGGATACTCATGGCTTATAACTTGGTGTTATTTCCAATAAAATCAACTATGACTATATCAGCTCGATTGCACCCCATAGCATCTCTCCACCTTTACATTCCCATGGAAATTCTCATGATATTCCCACAGAATATACCAATTTTATCACTGAGCACTATATGTACCCTCTGGTTATTTAACATAGCCATGGAAAATCACCATTTTTAATAGGTAAACCATCTATAAATGGGCCATCTATACCATGGCTATGTTAGTCATAACCAGAGGGTAACATCTTTAAACCAGAAACGTCGGTCTCCTCCGTTCCGACTGGTTTGTTTTTCACCGGGATCTGTGCCATTTCGCCACAGGTGGGATCTACAGAACTCCAATTTTGCCGAAGAACTCACTTTAAATAAACTGTTGCTGCAAGCAACAAATGAACTTCAATCTGGTTGGTGGTTTGGAACATTTTTTATTTTCCATAATATATGGGATGTCATCCTTCCATTGACTTTCATATTTTTCAGAGGGTTTGAAACCACCAACCAGTAAATCCATTGAAAAAAACATCGAAATTCCAGAGTTTTTTAGAATTCGAATCTCACGAAGCCAGATTTTCATGGGGGTTGGACGATGATTTTCCAGTTGTCTCCACAATTCCCCAAGATCGCTGTGCCTCGGTGTGCCTTTTTGACTCTTTCCCAGTGAATCCAACGATTTATGAAATCCTATGGTTCAATAGCAGCAAAAATCACATAAAATCATCATGAACTCAACATTGAATCATCATTTGTTCAAACAACCGCCCCCAGTTTTATGACGATTGTGACGGTTGCATCCCCAGTCAAGGGCCGTCATCATACGAATTTCTTCGGATCTCTAAGTCGTCCAATCTGACTTCCAGGCGCCTCCACAATCGAAGATTTGGAGTTGCGTGCCAATAAGACGGCGGCGCGTCTGCTGGTGCCATTGCAGCCCATGACCCAGAAGATCTCGCGGCTCAGTGCCCCCTTTTGGCCTTCACCGAAAAATGCTGTGCTATTCTTCGATGGAACATGTGATGTTTGCATGGACCTGCATGGAAAACACTGTTTTTTTTTGAAACATCATGGAACATCACGATTGATGTTTCAAAAAATGGCACAACCATGATTATTTGTTTGAAACATCCCATTTTGAATGATGATTCTTCCGAAAAAGGTGACTGTTCTTTGGGAAAAGGTGATTTCAGCATCAACCATGGAGGACATGGAAATCATGCAAGATACGCGTGAGGGCAATCAAGAAATGTTCCACGAAGTTGTGAGAATATTCATCAAAAAAGGTGGAGATTGAACATAGCAAAAATGATAGAAGCAAGAGGAGCGAACACATGATGCTACTTCTTTTGAACTGGACACACTCAATGTGGCCAGGTAACAGGTATAGCATGCATAGAGCATAAGATAGGGCCCAATGAATAGACATGTTTTTCTCCGCGATGTGAAAAATTGGCCCCAATTGGAACCACGCCAGTTTTCTGCGGTTTTTAGAGTTTTTATGGTTTCATGGAATGGGAGCTGGATGGAATTGCCAGGAAATTCTCCACTCAAAGGACCCCTGATCAGTGCTGAAAAATCTACGCAAAAAACACCACACAGATGAAGCCAGTCGCTTCACCCAGGTACCACACAGTCTATGATGTCTGGCGATTCGAATAATAACAGGATGGAGCCTTGTGATTCTCGGCGAGTTGTCGACACGATAAATTTAATGGGGTTCAACGAAGATATAATAGAATATAGACTATACATATATATATATACATAACCACTCGATGTCATATGTGCATGGTTTTTGTTGGATGGTGTTTCCATATGGAACTGTGTTTTGTTTCTTTTGTTGGATTAATTATGGATTTTGCCTGCAAGAACTGCGGGAATTCTAGCTGACTTTAGGTCTCGCTGAAGAAGAGAAGAGTAAAGCAACCAAGAACAAGACGTAACAGTAGAACTCAGAGTGGAGAATGGGTTGACTTAGTAAGTGGTTTTCATAACCCTTCCCGTAAATTCAGTAGATTATCCATTACTATGGGACTGAATATCTTCTCCAGTGGCTAAATATTATGGGACTGTATAATCACTGTATATTCTATTACTAATTGGAGAATCCATATTTTTTCATATTTAGCAACTAATATATGATAGTATTAGTATCATAATCTAATATATGATCTATTTATTCTACTAATAATCATATGTTAGATTATTATACTAATGATTTCGATAGCTAAGTTGGTGAACATAACTCCAATAACTATGGTTTATGGTACTTATAACTATAGTTACTGGGGCGAATCTAAACCAACAAACATCACTGGGGGGCCTCACATTGTAGGATTTTTTGACATATCGGATATTTACCAATAGTATTCCCATTTTTTTCGCATTTCCATATATTATTAGACTATATTACCCTCTGGTAATTTAACATAGCTATGGAAAATCACTATTTTTTTATGGGAAAATCCACTATTTCTATGGCCATTTTCAATAGCTATCATATCCACGTGATGATTCTCCAGTGGCGAAAAAAACGGACTCCTCTCCAGCTCAGGATCTCGTCCACCGTTTCGTCGTCCCGTTTCAAGCGGTTGCGGCTCGGTGTGAAGCGGTCGGTTGTTGTGCCAGGTCAGTCCCGACACAAAAGCTGGCAGAATTGTGGAGATTTCAGACTTTGCCAGTTACTTTCCTTATATCTCTCTATATATATATATATATGTTATTATTATTATATTACACATATACATATATATATATATTTATAGTCTATATATAGATATATGTATGTATATACGTATATGTATATATATATATGTATATATATATATATATACATATGTATATATTAGAGTCTGGATCTGGATGAATTATCATGACCTCACTGTGACGCCACTGGAATGATGCTTAGTAAGGGCAACTATTCCAAACTAGCCTTGTTCCAGTCTAGGGACTTAATTGAATTTATCTGGATGTGTTAGTCCCTTAGTGGAAAATTTCATGGAAACTTGGAAAACCCAAAGCCATCAACCTTCGCCAATGAAAGACACACATTCCCCAATGGGAGATTTACTGCTGGGTTTACCACATTATATTATACCTGATAATTTAACTCGGAATTCAGTTCATGACAGTACCACATATCATATCCGAGCAATATTCTGAGTATGTTGCCATTCCGTAGAGTAGATATTCATGGAAACAATACCCAAATCAACCAGTAGAGCCCATGAAAGAGGTTTGGGACATTTTTCTAGGGTTTTGCGGTTGGAAAAAAAACAAAAGACATAAGTGGCCGGGGTGTGTTGGCTCGCTAGTTCCATAATATCTACCGATAAGATCCAATAATTGCCCTTGCTCCCTGCCTGTATAAGAAATCAGGGGGTGATGAACCGCTTCTACAGTGGGATGAAGCAAATTAGCTCAAGCTCGAACTGGGAGCAGGATGATGATGTATCTCTGGGTTGAATTAAGGGAAGTGTTTCTAGAAATCAAGTTTCTTAGGGGTTCTTTAGCCTAAACATGCAAAAACTATTTGGACACTTCAGTCGGATATAGTTTGATCATTACTGGCATCATTGGTGAAATTCCAGAATTTGTTTGATTTGGTCAAAGAATCAATATTCTTATTTGCTTAAATCCCATTTTCTGGGGGGTTCAGCTCTCAATACTGCTGGTTGAATTCCATTTCAATTGATTGTGCCGCGCCGGCTGCTTTGTTGCTTACCCTCCTCGCATCGTTTTTGCTTATTCATCTATGTTAATCTTCAAAAGTCTCCAAAGGTTTTTGTTTACTCTATATGTTTAATGATATGACATTTTTGCAAATCTATGAATCTATCTTTGTTTACTCTTTGCTCTTTGTTTACCTGGCTCATTCGTCTATGTTTATTGCTGCTCCATGGCCATGGTGATGGAAACCATGTCGTTGCGCAGGTGGATGTCGAAACCATCTCGCAGGGCTTTAAGGACCCCTTGGACGACCAGGACGGTCGTGTTTTCGTCTGAGTGGATGAAGCTGTTGGGAATTTCCTGTGGAAATTCATGTGGAATTTCTTCCTAGAACTGTTCGCAATCCCATATGCGCCATGTATGGAATATTTCCCAACATTTGCCCTAAAAATCAACCAAATGTAGGTAAATATTCCGTACATGGAGCATATGGGAATTTTTAGCAATCGTGGATAGCCCCATAAATGGTTCAATCAACTCCAGATACTAGCCAATTTTCCATGGGAGCGGCCCAATTACTATATATAAACAATCCCCAAGTCATCACCATTTGGCGATGGTGGTTTTCCAACCATCCCCAAATGGTATCATAGGATCACACCTCTTCAAGATGTGGAAGCGAATTAAATCATTTGGAATTGGACAATGCTACAGGAAGCCCATGGGAATCCTACAGGAAGCTGAAGGAAGCTGAAGGAATCCAAACAAAAACTGCAAAATGCTAGAAAACTCCAATAATATTCTGCTTGATATTTGGCTCTTTTTGGAGATCTCACCACTGGCACTCCACGCACAATCAGTTCAAAATCTACAGAAGAAAACAAATTCCGAAGGAACACTAGAAATTCTAAACAGAACGAAGGAGAACTGAAGAATGATACGAAAAAAACTGAGGAAAACCAAAAGAAACTGGAGAAAAGTAGAAGGACTAGAAAAAGCTACAAAACTAAAAAAGGCAAACAAAAAAAAACAAAAAAAAAAAGCTACAAAAAGCTAAGAACAAGTTCAAAGAGGCCAAGCGGATCCCATTTTTGGGTCGCGGAAGGGGCACTCCCTCCAAGAGTTTTTCCTTGACATGCTTGAATGTTATTGTCTAGCACTTTTTTGCTTTAGGTTTTCTTAGCTCCCACCACCCTCGTCCAGTTGAAGAGGCAGGTCTTGAAGAGGCATGTGATGTGTGAGTAAGATGGTAGGTTTCTGGCAGGTTTCCCACATTATGAATAAAAAAAAAGGTTCATCCATATATGGAAACCGCTGAAAAATATCAAGGAACTCCTGATGGCCATGTTGAAGCGAACCATATGAGGCTGTCAGTTGGAACTTGGGGGTTGACAAAGCAAAAGAATGGTTGAACCGTTATTGAACCAAACAAACACGGTGATTTCAATTGGGATTGTTAACCATCTAGATTTCGGATTTCACCAACGAATTTTCGACGAGACCTGATAAAACTAGAGAGTTTCAGTACGATCACAGAAGATCATTTGGTGGCTGATGCCGCCAAGAAACGTGCCAATGCATGTGACCAAAAGGGGGTGGGTACAGACAATCAGCGAAAGTGGGGAACGGATCAGATGACTTAGCGATATATCTTTTTCATGGTGGACCTATTTATTGATTTTACTATTTTATTATATATTACAGCGTTTTTTTTTTTAAAAATAATTTCATACTTTTTTGGTAATGACATAGCTATGGAAAATTGCCCATCTATAGATGCGTTAAATTTGAAACCGTGGTTTTCCATTGCTATTTTAAATTACCAGAGGGTAACATGTGCATACAATTGCTGCGTCTTTCCATCCCTTGCATGCCGTCAAGCATATTGATGACTACAATTTGGGATAAGTGGCTGCACTTTTTTGTAGCTATGAAGATGATGTTTGTTGCTAAATGTTAGATGTGTGCCTAGATATACCTACGCTATCACCCCACACAACCACAACAACAACAACCACAACAACAACAACAACCACCACAACCACAACCACAACAACAACAACAACAGCAAACCACAACAACCACAAGCACAACAACAACAAGCACAAGCACAAGCACAAGCACAAGCACAAGCACAAAGGTAGGCCATGTTTTAAGTTGCCATTTTTTTTTCCCCATAGAATTCTTTCAACGTCCAGGAGTGTGGTGATGGGTCGGAAGTTGAGGTCGCCTTTTGACGCTCCAGGGTCAGCCTACGTTACGGGATGATTTCAAGATGGGGATTCCCATAACTGGGGGTAATAGCTGGATGGCTCAGAATGGGAGATCCCATCTATTAATGGATGACTGGGGGTACCAGAGACTTGGAATGGCCTGGTTTCATGATATATCTAATATACATATACATTATATTACATATATCTATCTATAGTAACCCCCCAGAAAAGCTGGAAAAATGATTTCCTACTAAACTTGTGAGATATCATACTATATCATACTTCTCCAAGTCACACACTTTTTCTACTAAACTTGTGAGATATCTGTTTGACGGTTCCCAAAAATATATACATATTACGAGACATATACACATTGACGGGATGCTTGATCATCTCGTCCACAGCCACAGGACTATAATTGCACATACACCACACTACTTACAATATGTATATACTAGTGTATATATATATGGATATGTATGTATGTAATGTAATTGTATGTAATGGTATGTGATGGTATGCAATGGTATGGAATGGTATGCAATGGTATGGAATGCTACGTAATTGTATGTATTTGTATAGAGGTAAGCGCATAATTATATATATATATATATACACATGTCAGGTTTGTCTTCAACCATCAATAACAAAATGAATCACATGGCAAAATTTGGTGCTGGCTCTGGAAGTCCGTTTGCGTTTTCTATTGCATCATAGGCTCTGCATGGCTCAATGGCTGGAAGGAACCATCCTGGGTGGATGGAATTTGCTACATAGCCATAGGATTTTTTTACATATCGGATATTTACCAATAATATTCCCATATATAGAATTCCCATATATTAATATATGATATGATATTACTATATATTACGTAGTATCATGATCCTGGATTTCATGGGATTTTATGAGATACAACGGGATACATCGAAGCAATTTGATCATTTGGATTAATGGGATATCAACACCAAACGTATGATGTGTTTCCCAACAAGAATGGTGGTATAATGAGACATTATTATGGAGGTATCATGGGGATATATATATAATTATAATTATAATATATATACATATATATATATATACATATATATATATGTATGTTTGGGTAAAATGGATCACGACATATCACCATGTTGCGACGTCATCTCCAAGTTTGGGACTCCTAGATGTGAATCCTGGATCGTGATATCAGCATCAACCGAGACCCTCTGGTAAACTGTTACATAGCTATGGAAAGATCCACCATTTTTCATGGGAAAATTCACTATAAATGGTGATTTTCCATAGTTATGTTAAATTACCAGAGGGTAATGTAGACTTCTGTAGAAAGGACCAGTTGATACGTCTTGTTGAGGGGGGGTATATACACCATTTGGATCGCAGTTTATCACTCGTTTGAGGTGGAACCGGCAGGTTATTGAAACCGGGGTTGACGTTATTGATTTGGTTGGGGATTATTGATTATGCATATTATGGTCCCCAAATGGACATGCATCTTGGCCGGAGATACAGATGTGTAAAACAAACAGATGACAAATGAAGCTCTAAATGATTGACGCCAAAAGATGGCTGGTTGAGTCCTGAAAATGGCTATTGCTATCCCATCCATTGGGCCTGTACCAACAGGCCATGAGCAACCAGCCAAGCAATCGTTCCGACCGCAGTTGCCCCGCTAAATTTCAAGCTTTTTCGAAAAAATGGTGGTGAGGCTGGTTTTGTCCAGAAAAAAACATGTCACTGGCCGACGTCAAAATCTAGATGATGGGTATAGGATTGCGGGGATTATCCCTGCAAATGACCCAATTTTATATTAGCACACTTTAGGCTCTGTGAGGTATTTGACGGTAATGCCGGCAAATGTCAATATCGTATTTGTATCATAGGTAACTCCCTCTTGGTATATTACTCGAATTTGTTCAACGAAAACGAGCTGGTGCATACCACGTACTATCATGGAAGAATTGCTTGTCGAATGGGGGCATCGTTATTTTCATCAACCCAAAGGAGAAAGGCTCTGATTCGAATTCTGCGATCCTTTGCTAAGCACCGCTTGATGAAACGTTTCCCAAAGGCCTGCCCCACAGATCCCAGACGAAACCAGACAGTTTCGCAATTGGCAGTTGGCTTTCGCGAAGAGGTGAACAGTGGCACACTTGGATAAGAGGAATATCGTCCACTTTTGGAGGAGGAATGAGGGGGATAGACATGGATAGACTGATCAAAAGAGTTGCATTTTGCAATATGTTGCCATGATTTGCAAAAAAAAGATGCTGACCGATGACCGATGACCCCAAATTGACATTCCAAGGCACATATTCTGGTATTGTAACGGTTGTAACACATCTGTTAAGTTTTTTCAGTATGCCGGGTTGATGAGTTTTCGCCACTGCTCCAATGGCTGCTTTCCAATCGAAGGACTTCTCTATGAGACAAAACGTCTCCATGGTTTCGTTGTCCTAAAACCCTGCTGGGGATAGGGTTTTTTAGCCTTAAATCATGGAGTTGGCCCAAAATTCCAGTCATTTTTCCCAAGATTCTCAGTGGGACCGTGCTTGCAACATAAGTCTGTCTAATTAGGTTGGTTTAAGGGAGTTTGTAAAAACCCCGTGCCTATTCGTTTCATCTTCCATGATCCCCCATGAGCCATTTCTAGTTTTCACTCGAAAATACGATAAGAGGAAAACAAAAACGATAACGTTGGTTATGTTAATGATCTGTGTCCAGATTCTTGAAATCCAAAGTTCTTGATTTTTCCATCATTCTGCGGCTATTTAGTGCTTTTGGTCTCTTCCTTTCATTGTTTGTTGTCGTAATGGCGCAGATTCTGCACAAGGAAGGTGCCTGGTAGGTGGTCGCTACACTCCTTTTTTGATGATTGCCAGAAAAAAAGGAACACACACACACACAGGATTCACGAACGATGACAAAACGAAAACGAAAACGATAACTTTTGACATCAAAAATGGTCCGTGTGAGACACTGCCTTTTTTTCCCTTTTCCTCTCCCTTTCCTCTCCCTTTCCTTTTTCCTGTCTCTTCCTTTACTCTTCCTTTTCCTTCTCCTTTCCTTTTTCCTTCCTCTTTCCTGTTCTTTTTCATCTGACATTTCCTTTTTCCTTTCCTTTTCCGTTTCCTTTTCCGTTCCTTTTCCTTTCCTTTTCCTTTCCTTTTCCTTTCGCTTTCTTTTTCCTTTCCCTTTCCTTTTCCTTTCCTTTTCCTTGCCTTTTCCTCTCCCTTTCCTATTATTTCCTTTCCCTTCCTTTACTATTCCTTTTCCTTTTCCCTGTTCTCACTCATGTGAATTCTTTGATCAAGGTGTGAAGCCAGCGCTTGGAAAAACGATAAGAGGAAAAACAACGATAACGTCTACAAACGCCAAGCAGACCAAATCCTTCCAGCAGAGAACAGCCCGTCAAAATCTGTCCCTTAAAAATCACCCAATGTATACAGGCAAATATACCAGCACCATGGAGCATATGGGATTCATTCAACATGTAAAAGAAAACATAACAGAGAATAATCACTCATCAAATAAACAAAGGGTGGCTGGTAAAAAAAAACAAAACTAGTGCCTTCTAGTCATGTAAACGGCTTCATTAAAGGGTCAGCCCTGGTTAGTGGTATACCTTGGTCTTCAAAAAATCCCAAAAATCCCTTGGTCACAGGGTGGTGCCCCAATGATTCGATCATATTCAATCACTAGGATGGGACACATATCTAATACAATGTTAGTAAAGCAATACAGGATGGGGCCCCCAAGATAGCGTTCAGTTGGTTTATAAGTGGCTGAATTCAATGGTTTATGGTAGATATGATATGACTATAGTTAATGGGGGTTATAATGGTTTATAAACCAACTTATAACTGGGGGGCCCCATCCTGTAGTAAACAATCCCCAAAAAAACATTACTATGGGCGGTATAAGCCATCAAAATATGGATGGTTCATGACATTGTTTTACTGACATTAATGGGTACTAGCGAATATATATCTAAGCGATATAGCTAATTGGGATTGGAATCTAATTTCCAATAAAATCAAATGCCGTATCTAACATCATATATATCTAATATAACTGCTGGGTACACATGGTAAATATACGGTACTAGCTAATAATTATTGGGCTTTATGAACCAACCAACCGTTTCACTTAGGGGGCACCGCCTCGCAGGAATGTTTGATATCTCAGTCGTTTTTTTTTTCGTTAGTAATATCTAAGGTAGCCCATCTCCACATTTAGACAGGTCCATCTCCACATTTAGACAGGTCCATCTCCACATTTAGACAGGTCCATCTCCACATTTAGACAGGTCCATCTCAAAATGAAACACGTTTTCGCGCAGCTGTGGAGCTTGCAGAATTGCAACTGTCCATGAAACTGCGCCGCAACCCACTGAGCCACTGGATGGAACAATTTCCGGCCACAAGTGCGGCGGCGGTGGGGTGATTGATATATGAATAGATGCACCATATTAATTTCATATTGACTTATTGCATTTAATATGTAAACTATATTTTATATATGTATATAATATGTACAGTCTAATAACATGTAATAATATATAATACTGTATGTACAGTAATGCAATATTAAAATTAGTACCCTGCAAGAATAAGGCCGTTTGTGCCACATGGAGGGTACTCAAACACGTATTTTGCTGTGCGGAATTATTATACCCGACAGATTGGATGCTTACGTACTTGACTTTTTTTTTCCGGGTGGTTGTTTAGAACTCAATTTTTGACTCATGTTCAACATCACTTGTTCCCCAAAATATAAAATGCAGTATGTAAAAAGGGCTATGATTATGGTTTTTTTCTCTGTGTATTGTATACAACAAGTTAACATCTTCAGTCTTCAGTATTTATTGATCTGGGCCATTAATCAACCATCAATTAAACATATTTCAACCATTCATCAACCATCAAACAACCATTCATCCAGTGTCATGGGGGCCTGTCTATCGGGTTTTTGGCAGAATTTTATGGCCTATGGCGCCGATTTTCAAAGGGTAAACCCCCAGCA